TTAAGAGATATTATTTCTGTTTTAAAATAATTATCATTTTTAAACTTTAAATTTATCCCAAATTAATTGTTATTTTTTTTTTTAAGATAGACAAATATTTTTTTCTCACTTTAACTCTATCACTATTTACTTATTTTGATTAATTATCCTATTACAAAAACTCCTATTTTATTTTTTAGCTTTTTCCTAATGGTAATATAGGTAAATATGTAAATGGTTATCAAATTTTTAATATGGAGAAAATGTGAAAAAATTATAGTTATTATGAGATGAAAGAAGTACTTAAATAGAGATAAATATAAAATTTTACAAATAAATTGATACATTTCTATAATATTAAATAAAAAAATTAAGTTTATTAAAATTGCACCAATAGAGTAACTTTTAAGATGAAATTTTAAGACAAATTTATATTACTTCATCCATTGAAATTTTAAGACAAATTTATATTACTCCATCCAGTGTTGTTATTTAGCTTTAACTTTATCCTAAATTAATTGTTTGTTTATGTATTTTTTAAGGTAAATATTTTCTATTTTAACCCTATCATTATTCTTTTATATTGATTCATTATTCTATTATAAAACAATCTAATTTTATCTTTTAACTTTTTTAAAAAATAATATAAGCCAATATATAAATTACTTTCAAATTAAGGATTTTTTATAAAAAAATATTTAATTTGGTAAAAGAAGTACAAAAATGACAATTATTTTTAGACAAATGGAGTAATCATATACTACTAGTGGTAATTTTATATAAACTAATCAACAATTAAAATAGTAATATTATCCATTAATTTAAGAAAAAACTAGGTTAAAACCCCCTTTTGGTCCCTAGACTATTGTACGGATTTTGATTTGGTCCCTAAACTTAAAAAATCCATGATTTGGTCTCTACTGTTTACCATTTTGCCTCGATTTGGTTCTTCCGTTAAATTTTTGCTGAGGTGGCTTGTTAATTGATGGAATAAAAATGACATGTCCAAATATTTAACACATTAAATGACGTGGCTAAAAACCTTTGCCATCTAATCAAACAAATATAATTATTCAATCCATCAAATTTATAATTTTGCCCTCTTCTTCTTCTTCAACATCTTCCCTCTTGAATCTTCTTCATTCATTCTAAATCAAACAATTATCATCAAACAAAGTTCATTGTCATATCAAACCAAATTTCCTCATTTGAGGCTTGTTGGGTTCGAAAGAACCCAATGGAGCTGCTGGGTTTTGAAACCCAATAGATCTGTTGGGTTCTCGAACCCAGCAGATGGCCCTCATCTTCTTCCTTAACATCCTCCCTCTTGAATCTTCTTCATTCATTCTAAATCAAACAATCATCATCAAACCAAATTGCCTCATCCGAGGCTTGTTGGGTTCTTTTGAATCCAGTGGAGTTGTTGGGTTTTGAGGTTCAAAACAACCCAGTAGATTTGTTGGGTTCGAGGGCCCTCATCTTCTTCCTTAGCATTTTCCCTCTCGAATCTTCTTCATTCATTCTAAATCAAACAATCATCATCAAACGACATTGCCTCATTTGAGGCTTGTTGGGTTCAAAAGAACCTAGTGGAGCTGCTGGGGTTTGAAACCCAGCAGATCTGTTGGGTTCAGAGGGCCCTCATCTTATTCCTCAGCATCCTCCCTCTCGAATCTTCTTCATTCATTCTAAATCAAACAAAATTCATTGTCATCATCAAACCAAATTGCCTCAT